CCCCAAAACCCCAAAACCCCAAAACCCCAAAATTGTACCAAACTATTGAAATTATCTGTAATTAATAACCTTTTTGATGCATTCTTGCGCTCTTGATTGATCCAGGACATTATCTTGCTTGTCATAATTAACTGCTTCAAGAAGTTCATCCTGAAGGTTCGGTTTTGAGTCTTCATCAGATAATTTTGTTCCAGAGATGAAATCATCCTTTTCAACTCCCTTCATCATCTCTTTGACTATCCTCTTCTTGCCTTTGACAGAAATATCTTTTGGATCAATATTAGGTAAGGAGTTCGAGGTATCTCTAAGGATATCCTTTTCTCTAGCTCTCATCTTCTCTTGGACAGTCTCTTCTCCAAGTTTAGACAGGTTGGCTTCTGTCAGAGCCTTCTCTTTCTTCCTAGCTGCTTTATCTCCGCTCCTTCTTGACTTTGGAGCAACCTTATTCTCTCTGACAACTGTGAAGAATGATGGATACTTAGTCTTACAATGCTTAAATTGATGATTCAGACACTCAAAATTGTTAATCTCGTAACCCTTATGATGAAGCACTGAATAAATATGTGATCAGAATGAATCATGAGTTCTATTGAATGAGCAATTTCACTCAATCCTGTTTACTGAGACTTTTTCAACACAGTATTCGCCTTTCTTGTCCTTTATAAAGAAAAGTTTTCCTCTTTTGACTTCATCAATCTCAGTCCCGAGAGATTTAGCAATCTGGTCTAAGGCAAGACTAATTCCATAATAAGAAGCATCTCTCTTCAAACAATTAAGTCTGGTGCTGCTGTATACTTCTTTTGTACTTCCGTTCTCAAGGAGCTGCCTGAGCCACTGATGGCCGGAGTCTTGGTCCTGAGAATCCCTTACAAATATAGCCTGCCCGATATGTTGTATGTTAAGTAGGAATTCCTGTATCTTCATCTTCTTGCTGTTTATTTTCATAATTGTAAATATTTTATCAATCACACTGGCTCCAATAGGGGTTTTGGGGTTTTGGGGTTTTGGGG